AGCCGGTGAGATTTGAACAGCCGAACTGCAGAACTGCAGTCAGCTGAAGTAGCCTGCAGTGCTGCATTTAACCACTGCGCCACCTTGGCTCATTTCTTGGGGTATTGTGGTGACTTTTTTCCACCTTCTGATAAGCAAAGCCAATAGGGAAGGCAGGTTCACTTAACAGCTGTGTTACTAACTTAATAACTGCAGTGATTCATTTAACAACTGTGGCAACAAATGTTGTAAAATGGGACAAAACTCACAACATCTGTCTTCCTCAGCCACAGAAATTTTAGGGTCAATTGTAGTCGTAGGCCGGGGACTGTAATAAGTGACATAATAGAATGTAGAATAGAATGTAATTTATATTATTCGATTCCTGTGACAATTTAATGTGATAATCTTTCCAATCTGACTAAAAGAAATAATTAACTGAAATAATTAGCTAAAAAAACAAAGTTTCAGTGTAGAATGCTTTTGTATACATAAAACCTCAGTGTATTGGCAAAATAAAATCCACTTTTGGTGACTTAGAGAATTGTTCAGAGTGTCTTGAGCCACACTCATGATTTCAGCAGAAGGTAGTAAAAAATATTTTGACAACTGAATAAAATGTTTCTAATTCAATAACACAGACTTAGACAATTTGTCTTTGGTTTTCATTTGGTTTCAGCAGTCAAATGTACATACCTTTACAGGAGGGAGATGGTGCAGACCATTTTCCAGAATCCGTACATGTTATTGATTCCATCTCAGTCGGTTTGTAACCTTCCTTGCATTGAACATCACAAGAAGAATTAAAGCCAAAATCCTGTATTGGATGTTTGCATGTAAAGATACCATGATCTGGGTCTTCCAGTTGATTGCAAGTGATTACTACAAGAGAACAGAAGAGTTTCGATAAGGCATTTGTTCCAAAGTGGAATAAATGGACAGAATGGAAAATCTACAATGAGATTGAACTAACTAAATGACTAATTAATCATACCATGTTCACAGTCACGTCCATAGAACCCTTTGTTGCACTGGCAGGTGTAATTGTTAATTGTCTCCATACATTCTCCACAACCACTGCAGGAATTTGGGGTACAAGAGGCTGCAAGACAATTAACCAGATTATATTGTGAAACAGTAATGATATTATGGCTATTATAACACAATAGTAGAATAAGGCATTTCCCTTTAAGAAGGAAAGAGGGGGGAAATTATTTTTCTATCTTGAAGATTCATTTCCCCCTTTTTGGCTTTTTGGCTCATTCTTTTTTCTTTTTAAAAACCATCTACCGTATTGTACAAATTTCCATGGGAACATTTCCCATAATTAAAAAAAAATAGGACAGAAACATCCATTTACATAAATTACAGAGATTTTTCCAATTTCTTGCTTTCATGCAAAACTGTTTCCAGTTTCTTTCATATGACTTCCCCATAGTAACCCCATATCTTTGCAGTTCACAAGATACAACCAAATGTTAATTTGATTGGACTTCCATTTATAGCCACCAACAATTATTATATCTGACATTTTAAAAAGAATTAACATAGCTCTTTGGAATATTAGAAGCAGAATCTATACAATGAAATAATTCCGAATGTATTCTTACAGAACTCCCATTGAGAATTATCACTGATTTACAATTTTACATCAAGAATGAATCTAACTCTTTATTTTTCAATATTTACAACAAGTCCTAAAAATAGATACATAGGTTTCCGACTATAAACAGTATAAACAGGAATTAGAGTGATATCAATCCATACCAGTATAGCACAAAGCTCTTTTAGTTTTATAACATGGTTCATCATTCCACTTTCCTGAATCTTTTGTTCGTTTTATATAGATCTCGACACAGTCCTCATTGTTTTTTCCATTGTTTGGTTCACCTTCAGCCCAGTTTTTAGCTTCTTCGGTCAGTTGCTTGTTTGTTCCTACCCATCTCCATTCATTCTCAATTTTTCGGATACCAATCCAGTAATAATTTGAATTTCTAGGAAATGTTGCATTTAAGTAGTGAATTTCCTCTTTATTCTGAATAGCAACCAGATTTGTAAAATGGGTTTTACACCATTTCTCTGCTTCGATGTAATTCATATTTTTCTCTGAGGCATGGTATGTCCAGCCGCTGCTAAAGTTAAATAATAAAAGTCCTAAAACAAAAGATAACAACAAATTGTTGTATTAGAATTTAGCTATTTGAGCTAACATAAGCCCTAGAGACCAGAAATGTAGTTCATGCTAAAATAAGACAGGAATAAAAGTAGAGAGGATAGCTATGGGAAGAGGAATGGTTTTGGTTTAAAAAACAGGTGAGAGTAACTATGCTTTCCTATGAATTGGATGGAAAAGGAACAGAGCACAAAACTACCAGCCATATGCCTAGAATGGGCTTCTAATATGGAAAGGAACCTAAAGCATATTTTTAGTGGAAACAAAGGACTTCATTAAGAAAACAGAATAAAAAGAAAGTGGATGGAATATAACAAGTGATCTAGAAAAGATAGAACGAGGAAACAGATGAGAACGATAATCTGAGTTTTGAGATTATTAAAAAAAGGAATAAAAAACAACTCTGGTGATAACTTTCTCCTTCGGACAGTTTGGAAACATTAAACAGATCCTGGTAGATTTTTGATACCATTCACCCTCAAACAAACATAAAATACATAAAGTATCCTGTACTTCCGACATTAGTTTGCTGACTGTTTTTAGCCAAAATATTTTTTTCTAGTTTGTATTATTAGTGTAATTTTTTAAAAGTATAAAATAAGGTTCCTGCTTCAGTGAAAAGAAACCCACCATAAGAAATATTACTTCTACTCAGCCACGAGGGCTCCTAAGATTTGAAATACTCACTTACCGTAGCAAAGAGTAGAGAGAAAGTGAAAGGTATTCATCACAGCAGAAACAATCTTAAACGACTAGTTTTGTTTCTGTTGGCAGTGCTGCAGTGTCTGGATTTTTTTAAAAAAATAAAATAAAATAGTAGATTGTTGTAAATTGATAACAGAAGTAATGAGTTTTCTCAAGTGTTTGTGCACATACACACACACACACACATATATATATGAAATCATACAATTCACATGCAGTTATATATTAAACTTGAAATCCAAACAAAAATAGCAGTTAAATCTCATCAGCCTTCTGACATACAAAGTTCTTTTTCCCTCTCATTTTACCCTTTCCCAGTTATCAGCAACAGATTGCTCAGGATTACAGGATCGTTTTCAAGAGAGCTAGACTGAATCTGTTTAAAACATTTGAATGCTGTAAATATAAACAGGAGCTAGAAAGATCTGGAGGGAACATTCTGCATGCATACTTTTTAAAGTATAAAGTTAAAATAGCTTATTCCCTTGCCCTCCCTTAATCTGCCTTCCAAATGCATTGAAATGACAATTCCCAAATGATTGGCATTTGGTTATATTGAATGGCAATTAGCCATGCTGGCTGGGAATTCTGAGAATTGCAATTCAATCATTAGGAGAAAATTACTTTCTGGACATGCCTAAGAATATAAAGTATGAACTTCACAAAATGAGACTTACAAACTGTACATTAGCCTTAAATATTTTTAAGAAAATTCAGATTGGCATTAGTTCTCGGTTGAATTTATAGTTTAATTTTAAAGAGCAGATTAATGTGAAAAGTAATATATATTTAATAATATAAATAATACTTTTATTCTTTGATTCTGCATTATGAATGTATTTTCTAAAAGAAATTTAGCACATTGTTGTTTTAAGCTGGAATGAACGTTGCAATTACTCGCGTTCTTTTTCTATTCCTTTTGTCATCTTTTAAAATAAAATTTAAAAAGTTTTTTTTTTAACTTACCAATAGCAACTGTGGGATGTGAAATCTTAGTTCTAGTTAGATGAACAGAAAAGTTGTCTTCTGCAAACTCAAGCTTTAAATTGAAAATCTGCAGCTTTTACTTGTTGATTGTCCGTCCATTGCTCAGCTCAGTGCCTTATATAGAACACTCCAGCCGCTTTGGAAATCCCATGACACATCCAACAGGATATTACCAGGAGAAAGTGAGAATTTCCCTAGGTAGGAAAAAAAATCCTTGGAATATTCATGATGTTAAAACACTGACCACCTCCCTGTCTTTTCCTTATGAATATCTGATTGCAATTCCTGGACACAAATGTTTGTTTTAATTAATCCTCATTTTAAAAAATGAGGTGCTCAAATTATTTTGTTGATGCAGCTATTCTTGGAATTGGATTAATTTCAAGGATTTATTTTTCAACATTTTTTTTCTCTTGAATTATGGAGGTGGATAAAAATCCTTTTATCTAGCAACTCATGACAGTAAAAATAGCCTTCCTCCCTTTAATTTTAACTTCATAAAACCATGTAAGATAGGTTAGGTTTAAGAAATAGGGCCTGACCCATAATTGTTCCTTAAGTACTATATTGTAGCAGTAGCTGTATATATACCTGAACCTGTTTGTCACTGATCCTAGTTCTTTACCTTGGCTCCAGTGGTGGGTTTCAAAAAATTTTGGAACCTCTTCTGTAGGTGTGGCCTGCTTTTCAGGTCCACTGGTGGAACCTCTTCTAACCGGTTCAGTAGNAGAGAGAGAGAGTCAAATTTTTATCAGTGAATTGCCTTGCAAAACTTGGAAAACAAGTACATCCTGAAATATAAAAATATTTTGATAGATTTTGTAATTTTTTTTTATCTTCCATTCCTTCTGATCTTTGGAATAAAGATGAAGTATTCATATGTAGAAAATTTTGCAAATAATGTTGGATGGTGTACAACAAATTTTGGATTGCTTTCTCTTTTTAAGGAATAAAAATCCACTTTCTAGATTATTTATGGGGGCCATAATTTACCCCCTCCCCATCCAGTGCCTTAGAAAAAAATGCCAGGTTCAAAGCATTACTGAAAATGAAGAATATTGGCTAAGTTCTGGCATGGTAGTGAAAGAAACAAACAAGCAAAAATGAAACTTAATGGGGGAAAGTTGGTGTACATTTTCTTCTTCCCCAATTTTTCCACCCACTGACAGGATAGAAAAGTTCAAGAGGCAATTTACTCATAATTCAAATTCTTTTGAGACTGAAGAGATGCCACACTTGATGCCAGCATTATTTGTATTTTGCAAATGAATGGTCCGTACTTAAATAAGAAATAAGACGCTTGCTTGATTTGTAAGTTTGTTCAACAATCCCACCCCCACTCCCAATCCTGACTTGTTTCATAAAACTCATTTTCTAACTTGATTCAGAGACTCTACTTTTATTTCTTCAGCAACAGCCTCTGGTTTCCAATTATGGAAATGCAGTTGTTAAAAGCATTCATACGCCCAACAACATTGGTTTCAAAAATGACGCTTTTAATGGAGATAGGGAAGGTAGCACATTTCAAAGGTATATTCTACAATGCGAGAAAAAGTCTTTTATGAGAACTTCAACTGCTTCGAGACTTTACAAAGGTCTAATAGTTTCCCCTTAATCTACAATGGGGATGTAATGAGCAACAATTTAACATATAAGAAATTATAGTTCTTTCTTCTCTCCTTCCTTCCCTCCTTCCTTCCCTCCTTGCTTCCCTCCCTCTTTCGTTCCCTCCTTCCTTTCNATCCTCCCTAGCTGAATGCTGATTAATATAATACAGCACTGGTAGTTTCCCATTCCTTGCGAAACAGGCCAAAAAAATTTTAAATTGTTGAACTACTAAATCTACTTACAAGTTGTTAGCCTGTCATCTATAAACTATATTATTAACAAAATAGTTAACAGAAAAAGCAATAATAATAGTATAAATGTAATAAAAATTGTGGACAATAATAAGAGAAAGACAAGATTGAAATTCCAAAACCCTCTGTTAACAAACTATTATTGTAATCAAATTGTAAAAAAATTATCATGGCTTCAATCCCAAATCATCCCAAATATTAACTCTAATTGGTTCCAAATCAAATATACATATTTGTTTCTTTATACCATCTCTTATCAATTGCTGATTGATTGAATACAATAAACCCAGTCTTCAAAACCAACGTATCTTACTCCCAAAAAACAGATAAAATCGTTCTTCAATCAGATGTATTAAGTCCATTTCCCACTTTCTTTCAAAACCCTTTGAAAAAATATTTGCCACTTATCCACACAGAAAGTTCTCGGCTATTATATAAAAGCCCAGTGTTATACTTCTATAAGGTTTATGGAGTTGGCTCTATTCTGAATCTATATTTCTTCCTAGCCAGGATATACAGTAGCTGGGAAATCACAATTCTTTTCAATGTTTTCCACAATCTGTGTTATTTCTGTGTATATATTTCTTCCCAACAAATCTGTTACTTTGAGAACAAGTTCTTTTTGTAAGTTAAAAGTATTCAATGTCTGTTTTTTAAAAAAAAAATGTTTTTTCCAGACTTTATAAATTCATCCAACCTTTTAGAAAAAAAATTAGTTAAAGACTGAATATTGCTTAGCTGTCTTCCCCCTTGTGGGTGTCAACCTCCTCCTTCTTTCTATAATCCAATATATTGTTGCTCAAAGCAGGGAGGAAGGAAAGAAGACAGAGAAGATTTNGTTAATTTTAGGTTTAGCGTTTACAGCGTGCTTCTGTCTCCGCACTGTTGTCGCGCTGTTGATGACGTCAGCTACGTGGTTTCATCAAGCGCGGTTTAGTCTAACGCGGTTTTGTGGTGGAACCACCTAAATACCTCATTAGAAGTTTCTTTAAAGAGCAACTTGAAAGACTGTCTACTCTATAGCCTGGCATCTTACTGATCTGTTTTCAAATCTTGAGATGTCCTATGCTTATGCCTCTCCTAAATACCATATCCTCAAAGTATAGTGTAATATGCTGTGCTTAACAATCAGTAGTTATGTCTAAATGGTGCCATCTACTGGTCACTGTCTTTTTTCTTAATAAATCAAGTACATAATCTACCAAAGAGCCTTCAATATCTCTTACCCCAATCAGAGGGAAACTCTTTTTGAGTTTATAGCATATTAGCAAAATGATATAAACTAAGTCTCTATTGGTTATAACAGTGTAATACATCCAGATTCAATGATGCAAAATTTTGTTCTTTAATGATTTTATTATCAAAACATTTACAATTTAAAATAAAACACCATTGGAATTAATTTTAAATAAATTAAATACATATATGTATACGTATACATACACACAAACATAATATTACCTAAATTATTATGTTTCATATTTAATATCCTTTAAATAAACTTTTATTTAAAAAATAAGGAACTGTGGGCTTAGACATTTCATGTTAAGACAAAGAAAGCATATGATGGTTTAAGAGCAATGTGTGAATACATTCCTACAAATGAAACAATCAAATTATGGAACTGTAGAATGAACAGAAATTCTAGATTACAACTAGATTCTAGATTACAACTATAGATGTACAGGGTTTTTTCAGGAGTGTTGATCCCTCAGGAGTAATTCAAATTACTAAATAACTAAAAAATGTCTCTGTGTTACTTATTAAGCTATTCCATAATATAACATATAAATACTTTCAAACAAATTACCATTAAATATATAGTTCTGGGTTTATTTTGGAGGATGATTTTTAGAATTGATTCACTTATACTTTGCTTCCAAAACAGATTTAGCCATCTTTGATTCACACAAAATTGCATACAATTATCCAAGAAATAAATACTATCCATAATTTAGATAATACAGTACTAAATCCCATAGGGATGAAACATTTTAAAAATCTTGATTCATTTCAAGACACACTATTGACATTAGAGGAATGCATGTAGGTTCATTTAGGCTTTGGCAGAGGTAATGAATTATCCCATTCTGAATTTTTTTAAAGTATTACTTTGATAACTTCAAAAACTATAGAAAATTACACCCTAAAAAT